CACTGCAACTCATGTTTTTAAATGAAAAAAAGTACTATTTGTGATTGGTTTTCGGTCCTTTGTATTAAACTATACATACATACATGATGCTGTTTTGTTTCTAATTAAGCAACTTAATTAATTATATATGGTTTATAAACATTATTTTAAGCATTATGCACTTTTTTCACAGATAGTCATGTTATTTTATTGCTTTGAGTAAACGTGCATTAGTAATATTTTGCTCGATGCGCCCTCTTGTGGCCTCAGGAGAGAAGCCAAAAGCTTTTTCCCCCCCTAACTGAAATTATGCCTTTTAAATTCGAATATTGATAATATTTAAGTACAAAATTCTAATTTAGTTTTTCAGCCATTTTGACAGCCCTAATTTATAATAGATTCATATCAATAATATTATTTTTCTCACACCACTAACAGAATATTTTTTGTTTGTCGTTTTAAGCATAAACCCACTTAATTTTGATACATGGAAAACAAAACAAAAATACCAATTAGTCGTTTTTGCAGCTCAGGTGTTCTGGGTGGTTGCCAGGGTGTTGCTGTGCAGTTGCTAGGGTGTTATGGGTGGGCTAGTACTAGTCATGACTGACTTAACCAGCACTGGAAAACTCAGACACACACACACACACACCAGTAGGGCCGCTCATGGTGATTATGGGTATTTTGTCTATTTTACACATAATTCTTGTGGTCACAGGAACTCTGCTGCTATTACGAGGCTTTAGAGATGCTATTCTGGGGCAGATTGGTCATAGAGGAAGAGTGTGTGTGTGTGTGTGTGTGAGAGAAGGTAAGCAAGCACAAGTGTGTTCAGCAGCTGTGAGTCTGCTTCTTCACCCAGAAGAAAAGATGAGCTTCTTTTTGGGTACAGTCATGTGTAAGTGAGGAGAGGGAGAGCAGACGGAGGTGTGAGGTTTGGGGAAACCACAGGTATGGACGTCACGAGAGAGAGAGAGAGGTTGGAAAAAGAAGACGCCCTTTTCACTGAAGTTTCCTTTAAACAGATTACGGTTGCCATGACGACAGCGGAGCGATTTAATTCCAAAAGAATCTTTCTTGCAACATTTGTTGCAACAATCTGGCATTCATGCACTTAAATTAATGCTTTTGTGAAATATTAACTCACTTGTGCCACATATTTCATCTTTCTGTCTTTCTCAGGTCAAATCAACTCACTTTTATTATTTATATAGCGATTTATACCATACAGATTATTTCAAAGCAGCTTCACACAAATAAACAGGAAAATAAGTGTTATAAAATTCATCAGTTATGAAATGACTTCAGCTGTAAAGCAGCTCCACAGAAGAAAATTCAACTCAATGTTGATTTAATTCAGTTCAATATAAATGTCAGTGTTCCAAAGCTAAAAGGCATGTGTTATTATAGTGTCGATACAGCTGTAGTTTTTATTAATATTTTGGATCAGTTTCCATATATTGCGTTTTCATTTAAATTTTAGTTAAAACTTTTATAATTGTTGTTTTTAGTCATTTTTAGTTAGTTTTTTTTATCTCTCTCTCTCTCTATATATACAGTGGGTACGGAAAGTATTCTGCTTCTACTCTAAATACTGAGCATGTGATATTTCAGTTTTTTTTTTTTAATAAATCTGCAAAAATGTCAACAATTCTGTGTTTTTCTGTCAATATGGGGTGCTGTGTGTACATTAATGAGGAAAAAAAATTAACTTAAATGATTTTAGCAAATGGCTGCAATATAACAAAGAGTGAAAAATTTAAGGGGGTCTGAATACTTTCCGTACTCACTGTATATATACATTTTTCAGTTTTAGTTATTTTAGTACATCGTTAAACAAAATAAAAATTATGTAAAAAATGTATGTAAAATTGTTGTTGTCAAATAGCTGAAGTACGTTTTTAATATTGTATTTCAGTTAATGTTTACTTTGTTTTTGATTTATTAGACAAAAAGTTGTTATATAAACTCATTTGTCAAGGATAACACAAAGTTAAAAAAAAAATGTCCATTGTCCTCGATGTTATTTAATTTTAAGTAACAATGTTTTAAAAGGTTTTAATTTGAGTTATCTATAATAACCCTTGTTGTGAACAGGCTCAAAAGCTAAATAAATCAAGACTGTTGTGCGATTATTTGCATTTTAATGAGCTAGTGCTGGAGTTAACTAGTTGTAGGGTTAGTAAACGGGTTGTTGTGGCTCCGAGGGAATAACCGAGTGAAGAATTCGTCGAGGGGCGTTCGAGTCGGGTTATGAAAACAAAGCCAGAGCTGGAAAACAAAGTTTACCATTGAAGAAAAACAATGCTATTGAGAGAGACGGAGGGGAAGAAACGGAGGTGGAATCTGGCTGTGGTTGGTCCGATCCCAAACCCGGCCCATTCCTCTCGTTTTGGGCCACATCAGGAACGGCTGGCTACATTAGAGCTGCCATTATCCTCTCCAAGTCATAACAGCCAGAACACCCACCTCGACAGAGAGGAGGAGGAGGAGGAGGAGGATCCACACAGAGAGAGAGAGAGGGACCAGCAGCCAACAGAGAGAGAGAGAGAGAGAGAGAGAGAGAGAGACCAGCAGCCAACAGAGAGACAGAGAGAGAGACAGAGAGAGAGAGAGACCAGCTGCCAACAGAGAGAGAGAGAGAGAGAGAGTGTGTCTGCTGAAACCGCCAACAGATTTTACACTCAGCCTCACAGAAAACATGCACCACCAAAACTAGCAATCAGTCAGATTTGAATGTTTTTGAAAGAAGTCTCTTCTGCTCACCAGAGCTGTATTTATTTGATCAGAAATACCGTAAAAATTGTGAAATATTATTGCAATATAAAATAGCTGTTTTCTATGTGAATATCTGTTAAACTGTCATTTATTTCTGTGATCAAAACTGTATTTTCAGCATCATTACTCCAGTCTTCAGTGTCACATGATCTTCAGAAATCATTCTAAGATGCTGATTTGCTGCTCAAGAAACATTTCTGATTATTATCAATGTTGAAAACAGTTGTGCTGCACAATATTTTTGTGGAAACTGTGATGCATTTTATTTTTCAGGATTCACAGATGAACAGAAAGTTCAAAAGAACAGCATTTATTTGAAATAGAAATCTTTTGGAACTTTATAAATGTCTTTACTGGCACTTTTGATCAGTTTAATGCAGCCTTGATTAATATAAGTATTAAATTCTTTACTGCCTCAAACTCAGTCTGAGTTTTGTCCTAAATAGCAACAAGTGATGAGTGAGTTTTGTCAGTTGTTTGGTTTTTATTTCTGTGTTGTTGTTCTGTGTAGCCCCGCCCACCGTGGAATCTCATTGGTCTAGAATCCCACTCCAAACACTGTGTCACTCTGACATGAAACCTGCTTGTTGCTGGAAACATACAGCATCATGTTTGGTTAGGACAGCTTGTTTTTTTTTTATATTTGCATAAAATATATGTATAAAATAGCCGTCCTGTAGCTTAAAAAGAAGAGCACTGCACTAGCAACACCAAGATCATGGGTTCAATTCCCAGAGAATGTGTGAAAAATGTTGCTTTGGATAAATGCATCTGCCAAATGCATAAATTTAAAATGTAAATAAAATTAAAATCATAGAATAAAAAAGAAATAATATTAAAACAAATTGTTAAAAAAAATTTTTAATATATTTTACCTGTTTGACAGGTTATTTTGTAGCTGACTGATGGTCACACAGTGACATTTTTGTCCCCGTCATGCCTGTGATTCCCCTGTGAGTTCTGACAGGTGTGTGTCCATATGTGCTGTGTGTGTGTGTGTGTGGACCTCCCTCATGGTATTTATTGGGTCAGGCAGCTGTGGCTTCATACAAGATCTCTATTTAGCGCCTATAACTCATTAGCACACGTTACCAGATATATACCTACACACACACACATATGCTTGCATGACAGTGTGTGTATTGCATATCCAAAAAAATGTCCATTACTTAATCTACTATGTTGGTACTCAAACCATGTTGTTTTAATATGCTCCTACTGACTTTAAAGAAAGGTGCATGATGAAAACACACAGTATTATGAAGCTCAGTGTGCATGAGCTGAGCTGTGTGTGTTGCATCAGGACTAACGCTGTCGTGTGTGTGTGTGTGTGTGTGTGTGTGTATGTTGGATGGGTGTACTTTTTTATGCAACAGGATCGCAAAACCTG